TCGATCTTCGGACTACTTCTGGTTATTGCCAATATGGATTATTGGTGCATGCTGTTGAAGAGGATGACGACCATGCATCAATGGAAAATATGCATGGAGTGGAAACTGATCATTCATGGTAATTGTCCCTTCTCCTTTTCCCCAAGCTCCCTCCTACCCGCGGACAAAATCACCCATGTTTTTGACGTAGGACGAAGAGAGTATGAACACAATATTTCAAGAATTTTTTAAGAACCGGAAGTGGAGATCTTGAATCTTAATAGTCAGATGAATAACTATATAAATAGTCTACCAAATAATTCAGTTAGGATACCCTATTTGTAGTTATTAGATTACAGTCAAAGTAAGAATTCTTAAATCTATCTAGGAATCCTACTAAATAGAAAACTAAGCTAATTAATTGGAATAATCTATAATAGAAAATAACTAAATGAGATCCTAAATAAATAGTAAATAACCAACTTATGCCATTTGTAAGTTTATAGATATTTATTCCTAAATAAACTAAATACCTTAATAATAATAACCATCGCAATTACTTAAATATATCTTATTACCGAATATTTATCCACTTTTGCATCAGTTATCTTGTGAGATGATGCATGTGAGTGCCACCTGGTGTTTCTTTGATTCTATTGTTGGTGTTCTGTGATTGTGAAAATTTAATCAAGGGTATGTTTCATTCTTGTTACCATGTTGAGGCACATTGGACTAACACGTGATTGAACTAAATATTGCATTAAACCTTAAGACACATTGGTTGTTGCATATGATAAAACCAGGTATCACCTAGAAATATTATTCAGTTTTGGCAATTAGGAGAACATGCAAAGTATGTTTATATGTTCTATATGGTTTACATATATGCCTTATATGGAGTTTAATGTGGTTTTCTTTGTCTTTGGCTAATAGTGTCAAAAACATGTATAAAGAGAACTCATCTCGTTACTTGAGAGAGGATCTGCTCTTAAACCAAGACCAGAGAAACAGTGAACATCAGATGAGACGCAAAAAGAATTACGGAGAAATTATAGATACTAACAGCATACAAATGCTTGAACAGAAGAGAGATATATTTTATTTTCTCTCTTTTATAGTTCATAATACTAAGCCTGTTGGTCACCAGGTACCTCTCATTTATTAAATATGCTCTTCTTTCTAGTTGACATTTCCTGACAAATTTGAAATTTCCATTCATCACTCAATTTTCTTCATTTTTTTTATTGCAGGACCTTGTTGGCCTAGTTATCTCAATGCTACTTCTAGGAGATTTTAGTCTAGTGTTGCTTACATTGCTCCAGTTATATTCAATTTCACTCGTGGACGTCTTTTTGGCTTTGTTTATTTTACCACTCGGCATACTTCTTCCTTTCCCTGCTGGAATCAATGCTTTATTTAGTCATGGACCCAGGCGGTCTGCGGGTCTTGCACGTGTGTATGCATTGTGGAATCTAACATCTTTAATTAATGTTGTGAGTATTGACCCCCTTGGCAATTTTTTTTTATCTTACCAGTGTGGATACTTTATTGCATCTTTTGGAATTTTGGAAATTGTTAGGAGAGAATTGCATTGTGAATTGTAGCCTTTAAAATATCTGCTTATATAGTGAAGGGCAGTGGATTAGAACCTTACAATTTCTAAGGGTTGGGGAAATTTCTCATGCTGAGAATTGGCATGATCTAAAAATGGTCTGACGTTTGACTTTTTCAATTTGTTCCCCGACCCTTCAGTTGCTGCAATTTGACTTTTGATCTTTAGTTGTTTATGAAACTGAATAAATTCAAGATAATAACCATCCTTTGATCTTTTCTGCAGGGTGTTGCTTTTCTTTGTGGATATATTCACTATAGCAGTCAATCATCATCAAGTAAAAAGCTTCCATTCTTTCAGCCGTGGAATATTAGCATGTGAGATTGTTTATTTATTTTGCAGGAAAAAGAAAATCTCTTAATTTTAACTAGAGAAGATGCATATCCAACTAACATGTGCCATTGTGTGGCGGCTATGGTTGCAGGGATGAAAGTGAATGGTGGATTTTTCCAGCTGGACTGGTTTTGTGTAAGATTTTCCAATCGCAACTTGTAAACTGGCATGTCGCAAATCTGGAGATTCAAGACCGCTCATTGTATAGTAATGATTTTGAGCTGTTTTGGCAATCATGACACCAGTAAATTATATATTCTGCATTAACGAGCTGCTTTTCATTCTTGGTTTTGTTTTTGAACTTGTCTTCTTTTTTATTTGTTATTTGAGAGCAAGAGGTGAGTGACTGACTGATGCATAGAACTAGAAATACCGAAATAGAAACAAAAAAAGAAATTAAAGGGGGTGGGGGGGGAAATAACAGGGATAGGCAATTCATTCATGTAATTTTAATTGATCACAGTTTTCTCTTTGAACTTATTCTTGGTTTAATTTTTTTTCCTTAATTTCCAATGTAAATAATCAAATGGTGAGATATTTTGCCTTTTGATTCATTTTTCTTTTTTGTGTATTATCACATTGGAAAGCTGTTTGGGTCGTGAATTTTCAATTGGCCTTCTGTTAGAGTGTATAGTCTGATTGTAATAGCATACCGTTATATAACTTTTCTATGCAATATAATTAACTTAGTTAATGTAACTATGGTGTGAAAGTGGTTTTCAATATAAATAGCAAAAACACAGCATTTTTACGTAGTTTATTAGATGACGATCATGCATATTTTCTTTTGTAATAGTAAGCAGGCAGTGGCTTTTGGTGGCACTCTTTATGGGGTCAATTCCCAACAGTGTAAGATGGTTTCAAAAGCAGAAGAGATGAACATCCTAAACCCTAGTTTTTGAGGAAAATCCAGACTTTCTTAAATACACCGTTTTACACAATATCACAGAACCCTGACTTTCTATGTATGGAGATGCACGCAAAGTTCTTCAAAGCCTATTGAACCTGGCAGGATGAACTATAATGTTGCTAATTCTAAGTCAGCCTTTGTCATGAGGATCTCCTCCGTAAGCCTGAGAGCTTTTTTCTGAAACCAAGTTGCTACAATGATGTAGCTGGGGAGTTGTGAATAAACCCTTTTGAATCTCACCAGATGGCATTGGAACCGTGCTGGATGTGCTCTCCAACTCAGACAACAAAAAAGATGCCACTCTGCTTGCTGGGGCACCCTCTGTTTCGCTGCTTCCACCATGACTTGCACCACCTATAACCATCAGTTGAAACAT